GGTCCCGGATGAAGTGGCGTATGGAATCTACGAGTGGTTTAGTTCCCAGTAAAACACTCTTCTCCATATAATAATAAGTAAAAGGAGATCTATTGTCATTTTTTATTTGAAGTAACTAAAACTAACTATCAAAATTAGAAAGACATACAAGATATTAGGTCTATTAGGTGTAACTGTTACATGTAGTTCTTACCTTGAGTGATAAAAAGGCATACCCTCCTTGTAAAGAACTAATTACAAAGTAAGAAAACGTTACATTACATTTTGCTAGCTTTTAATGGTCCTTCCTAAGCAGGCATGTTCTGGTTTGAACATTTTGAACAGAAGTGAGTGACATAAGGAAAATATAAAATCAAAGTCTGGTTTCAAAAATTTAAATTACAATTAATGAGAATGTATCCAGGGTTCATATTGACTTGCTAGCAAAAGAAAATTAGACATTGCTGAGATGTAATACAGTCAAGGGTTTTATTTTGTTACTATGGGAAAGACCCACAACAAGATCTAGCAACTTACCCAGGTCTGTTCCATATTTAATTCCCAGTTTGGGGACCCAGCCTTTAGATCTGAAGTAATGATATGCTATGTAATTTGGGATGAAATCTTGTTTAGCTTCACAAAATGTGCACCACATTTCACTCAAAGACATGGGTTTCTAAATGGAGAGAAATATAAAAGACTTGTGACTGTGTATGATACATCAATGAATACCGACAGATCTTTATTTAGGTCAAATCCCTTCTGCCAATAGTTTACATGTAAAGAATATGATGTTTTACTTTTTATAAAATGTGCACTAAACTAACTTTTTATCATCATATACACATATGTACATGACTCTTAACTTTGTCTCATGGCAATTAAATGTATTATGTCATCGCCATAAAAACATTTTCAGAAATGTTATTTATATGTAAATTTGCATGTGTCCTGCTGTATTTGATATTCTTCAACTCCTTGATCTAATAAAATTACAAGGTAGCTCTAATGCAACACACTGAACATTAGGGAGAAATTCAAACAGAAAACCTGGCAGAAGTGATGATTGGAATATCAAGAACAGTATCCAAACACCGTACCTGACAGTCACTTAGCACAGAAAGACATCCAAGTCCATAAGACAGAAAAAAAGCCTGAAAGAAATTTAAGTACATGTAGGTCCAGTTCTTATCTACATTTGGACAGACATACATGTACATATGATGAGCAACATAAATGATTCAATCTATTTTTGCCAGAGTGAGAACTCCAAATTAGTTAACTGCAAAGGACAGCTCCCAAAAAAACCTTTAAGCTATCTGACCACTGACTGCTGGCTGTTTGTCGGTCATCTGTTGTTTATTACCAATAAAGTTCTATGAGCTCATGATTAAGAATAGCAAATTTGAATTGGACTCACCAATTGGAATTTCAAACTAACTAATCATGGCTGATAATTTACTCTCACTTAGAAATGACAACACAATGATTATTTTTCTTTTTGGGGATTATTGTTGGTTTGATGCTCTTCAATTGATACTACAGTAACCATAATTTGAAAAAATCTGAAACTAAACTGTCTTATATATTGTACAGACCTCTTCAAGACTCATATGTAACTGCTCATACACCTTATAAGGATCATCTTGCTTTGCAAACCTTGCTTTTTGTTTTGTTTGCTTACTTTCCATGTTTCCCACATCAGAATCATCTTGCTCGCTGTCAAGATACAGTAATTATGAACAAAAAATCTGATAAAAGTTAGCATGATCAAAATATGAAAGGGACAACATTAAATCCTCTCTCTATATATATACAGTTTAATTCTTAAATGCAGGATCTATTTAGTGTTCAAATTTATTTTTAATTAACCCTTACCCGTCTAAGCAAAAGGAAAGCTGAAGTCTCAGACTCAAGAGCAGTTTTACTTTTTGAGTCAAAATCTCTGTGTTGTGGAAAATACATAAAAAGAACACCTGATAACACTAAATTTTAATATTAAGTAACTAAATAAATGTGCCATCAACTTACAAAATGTCATATACAATATTGCAAAGGCATTTTCGAAATACATTACAAGTACTGGCACAAGTATGAAATTTGTTTCCACCATCAGTATCTTACCAAAGTCTTACCAGCATGTGTTAGAGGATCCGCAGTGTTTTCTTGCAACCTCTTGCATCACTTCTTCAACCTCTCTATTGGTAATGCCTGCCTCAGTATCATCTTCTGAATTGCTTGCATTCTTTATTTCCTCCTCGTCACTAGAAGGTGTCCTAATCTCTTTGGCACATTTATTGTCATTATTTAATTCTGACTGATTCACATATTGATCTCCATCATTGCCAGCAATGTCCTTCTGTCAAAAACAACCAAACAAATAACAAACAATAACTGAAATGCAGTTGTTGATTACTGGAGTAATTCTTCTCTTGCTTTTTAGTTAAAGGGAGGGTTTCACAGTTCAGTGCAGATCTCTGAATTAAATTTTTAATTTGTTCACTTCTTATCAGTGTTATGGCTTTAAAAACTGCATTCACATGTAGTTCAGTAATCACATACATTGTACTACAGTTAGTCAAAATTGTTTAGAAGATTTCAGTAGATTTTATTGATGCTGTCGATCATTGAATTTAACATTGATCCGTATGGTTTGTTCTACGGTCCAGGATCTTGTGCATGCGAAATTAGGTAACTTACTTATGATTGGTTCATAAACAATGAAAAACTGGGCCTGTGCCAAAAAACGTGCACAGGCAAATAAATAATACAGATATGCGCAGAACCCTGAAACCCTCCTTTCAATTAAAAGTTGAATTCCATGCATCAAAAACTAAAAACCTGAGTTGAAATCCTTGAAGTTCCCAATCACATAAAAGTTTAAATCCATTGATATCAAATCTTGATTTTCTGGATGATGCATTCAATCTAGCTGAGATTAACTATTAATACTACACGTAGTACTCATTCATATAATAGCTGTTACAAATGTTCTACATGGTAGTTCAGTTCAGTTCAGTTCAGCTCAGCTCAGCTCAGCTCAGCTCAGCTCAGCTCAGCTCAGCTCAGCTCAGCTCAGCTCAGCTCAGCTCAGCTCAGCTCAGCTCAGCTCAGCTCAGTTCAGTTCAGTTCAGTTCAGGTCAGGTCAGGTCAGGTCAGGTCAGGTCTACAGTAACTTCTTTGGGATCAACAACTGCACAATAATTTTACTGAACACTCTAGATGTCATTCCTGGAAGGTGCTGGTGGTAGAAGCACTGACTAAGAAGAGCCCCTGATCATGAGTGCAAGTTATGGCAAAAGTTCTTGTTTGTCATGAAAACACTTCCTGTATACATATAATTGGTAATCATGGTACAGTAGGATACAACAATAATAAAAATGTCTCATCATGATGTAGTTAATTGAAAATTAAGCAATTTGTGACTTATGAACTGCACAATGTTAGTCTTTGCGTCATCTCAAAGCCACTACACTAAGTGACAAAAAAAACCTTTTTAATTATTTAGTATTAATGAGAAGGGAAAAAGTTCCAGATACCTTAAAGACTTACTTTTCTTCTTTTAGCAGAGTGAGATGTATGTCTTTCTTCGTCGACAACGGGATCTTCAACGGATTTTCCACTGATCTGTTCATTGCATTTTTCACTTTCTACAACATTGTCCTTTTCATTCTCAGCTCTGCTTTCTCTGACTTGTTGCCACCATTGTTGATGATTTTTAAAACTAAAAAAATAATAAATCTACAACGATTAAAATTAAAATAACACAGTGACGTCTGAACTGCAGGACTCTGGCGATGACCTCATGCTCAGTTAATTTTATAAAAACATTAATTTTTACAACAACTACAACAACAACAGCAACATGATCATTTAATGGCATTGACTTGTTGTGCAGTGTATATTGTAAGCTAACAACTAATTCTTACCGTTCCTTTCTTATAACTCGAAACTTTGATTGTCTGATTTCTCTCTCTCTAGGTGGTACTTCCCAAGACAAAAATACAAAGTCACCAATTAAAATTAATTAACGAGTCTCAAATCAGTAAATTATATGTCTTGTATCAGTAACATATATGAGTCATATAATGCACAACTGGAAAATGACTGTTGGTAGATTGAAATAATAGACCTGCCATGATCTCTTGAACCCTACAATTTAAGAGAGGATGTGAAGAACCATCCAAAACTACACACTCAGCATATATAACAAAAGTTATTTGCTTCCGTCAGACTCCTATCAGAAAAGAGGTCATGCATCATAGTTGTATCATGGTTAGATGGATTACTATTTTTCCAGCAGGATGATTTATATTTTATTTTGCTAAATAAGATCCTTTAGTATTGATCAGTCTACGAGTTCAAATGAACAACAGACTGTACTTACATCTTCGGAGTTTTTCAGACTTTGAAAAGGCCTTTTGGGAGATGTTTGAAATTAACTCATATTCAGGTTTACTTCTTGAGAGAGTTCCTTTCCCAAAGAAACCCTGCAACAAATGTGTCCTTTGAGGTAAGCAACATAAGATGATGTCATATCACATGACAATTACATCATTCATCAACATGATATTCAAACTGCTGCCATCTTAGATAGGTCCTCTTGGATTGCTTGCTGGCGGTGTTCCAGAAAATAGCCATATCATTTCCACTCAAGGTTTTCTGATATGAATACCCCACTGCTCTGGAATTTCCAGTTTAACATTGACAAACTCTCCTTTAGAATGTTTGGCTGAAACTGAGATCCCCAACCCCTTTTCATCCCCCAACACCCCCCCCCCCCCCCCCCCGCTGGAAATTTGGAAGGCATTTAACAGGTTGTAGATCCCTGCCATGGGACATTTGCTTGCAAAGGGCTACCTGGGGATAGTGCATTTGACAATTTAGTCAAATACAAAGAGCTATAAATCAGTACTTTTTATAAAACAAAACCCTGCTTTGCTAAACATCACAAGGATTAACACTACGTAAAGAATGACTGGGATGTAAGTTATTTTTTGGAGATTTATTGTAACCCATTGAAAACTAGCTCATGTCCCACCACCACCCCCAAAAATTCATGCATTCATGCATGTTGGTCTTCCAAGTGTGAGAAAATCAAGGTGAGAAGTGGGTATGTTGTGGGTCATTGGTTAAGACAGAAGGGCCTCGAAGGTTTAACAGAAACCTATCAAACATAAGTTATTGACATTCTCATAATCAGAACGAATCATATTTTTGTTTGAAGAGATGAGCCCTCTCTCACCGAGTTTTCTCTGCAAACATTGTCTTTGCGAGTTTGTCTTTGTCGTTTTGGAGACAGGAGTGCATTACTTTTGACAATGTTCGAATCAATTTCAACACGTTTTATACAAAAACGTTGAGTACATGGTTATGAATAGTCATAATCAAACTTTAACAAGCTTTCTACCAGAGATGCTATTTTCACTATTGTTTAGTTAAACAAAGAACTGCATGCATAAATGCATGAGTTATACGGAAATCTTGATTCTGTCCTGGTGTACCAGTACGAGTTAAAGTTACACTGAGGGAATAACCGTTGTACTGCCTTTCTTTACGAGTCTTTGTCTAGCTGTTGTATAAGTTGGGTCTTTCGTATCGGTTCTTGTGTACCAGTACACGAGGACAGAACCGAAATTTTGCCATGTTTTGTAGCTACGTTAAACTGCTTTACAAAATGAATTTTTTTAGACTGCAGCTCACCATCTTGTACAGAAAAGTAAGGTCGCCTAAATCTTCTACCACTACGCAGTTGTCTCTGAAATAACCAGTGTAGTAGTACCACCTGTCTTTGCATGATTGCTTTCCTGTAATACTTTGAATAGGAATCGGAAATGGAGCTTCCTTGGGGTGGAATTTTGCCCCTTTCTTTCGACGCGGTATGCGAGTTACGTCCGCCATCTTGATTATTGTTTACAACCGCTGCATGATTGTGTGCTCACAAAATTTGCGCGCGGTAGAATTCAAAATGGCGCTCAGTACAACGGATTGACTTGTGTACAGAAAATTGTGGGGAAAAACAAATATCTTCATACAAGAAAAAGCCCAGATTACTACAGCAGTACAGTTTCTTTCGTCATGACTACAGGGGACCTGAAAAACAACCTTAGAAAGCTAGTTTCCGAATTAAAACAAATTCACTATCCTCAAAGTGAGCTCGATATCAAAGGAGTAGCTCAAGGGATTCCTAAGGCGTTTCTCCCCATCGTTCATCATGTTTTCCTTGACTATTCCATCTCACTGGCTCAGCACTTTGCGTCTAAAGAATACGAGTTGTATGGGAAAACAGATTTAAGATTCATGGAAGCTGTGTACAAAGTCCTTCGCGACGAGTTTGGTTACAAGCCTCAGCTAACCAGGGAACAGTTCCTAACAATTGGATTCGCAGAAAGAAAGATTATTGTCCTTTGTGAAATGGTGAAACTTCTGAGAGAGAAACACGATGAGCTTACATCTAAAGGTGGCAAGTCGGAAAAGAAGAAAGCAAAGCAGACTTGGCCAAGTTCACAGCTGCGGGGTGATGATAATGGCACTACTAAAGAATGCTCGGACAAAGTAATGTCAACACACTCTGATCGTTTCCCCGGACCCCTTCCAAAGGACATTGACATGAAGAGTTTCCGCAGTAATGAGGAAGCAATGAAAGCTGGCTTGGGATTAAAGGAGCCTCTTATAACTCGTATGTTTCTTGATGGTGAACCCAGCATATGCACCGGTAGTCATGTAATGCCCTCAAACAGTGGTCCATCAGGGAAAGCTGGCAGTTCTGTGAACGATTTGGTTCCATCAAATTTAGTCATTAAAAGCAGTGGTGACCAGAAGCTCTTAGGTATAAAATTCCCAGTTTCTCAGAACTCAGAAATTCGGTCAAATTTGTCTAGACAGTGTCATGTCAAAACAGTCACTTGGGAAGATCAATTAAGTGAACCCCAGGTCATACTATCTGAACAGGGTGAAAAAGGTTCTGTTGCTCATCCACTATACAATGGAGCAATGAACCCCATCTCAGTACCAGCAACAGTTCACTCAATTCCTTTCGCAAAGACATCACCAGCATATTTCCCCCTACAATCAGAAAACATGTCCAGTGCAGGAGTGATACCATATGCTATTCCTTCCCCAGTTTCCATGACAGCAGTTCCTTTGCCAAGTGCCGATCTGATGCTTACACCTACTGCCAAGAATACTCATCATCAAGCCATTCCACTTTCCATCTCTCACAACGAGAATGATTTGCAAGACACTTCATTTTCAGATGGTAAATTTCCATGTACAAGAGTTGTTAGACATTCAAGTCTGATTGAACCATCAGATGTCCTCGTGACTGATTCAAGCTCAAGTGCAGAGGCTCAGGTTTATGTTCTAAAACAGCAGGTTCAAGAGTTACAGGAGAAGTTTGACAGCATGGTGTTGTTAAACAATGAACTGTCAGCCAGGGTTGTGCTTCTGGAGAGCAAAATGAAGTTGGTGGAAGAAGCATCTGGGTATAAATCTTGTTGTAATTGTGGAAGTCCTTTGCCCAGAGTGGACAAAAAGAATGAATCACAACCTGACAAAATAGTTGTGTCTGGTTTTAATGTACAGAGTGAAAAAAATCCAGGCAAGGAATCTTTTGAAAATAGTCTGAAATGCATATCAACTAAAATTAATGAAGAGACTGGCAATGATTATGCTAAGGGTCCTAAATCTGTGCTAAAGAACAATTCAACCAGTAGAAAACTGTTCACAAAGACAGCAACCTCTCTTGGCAGTGATCAGGCAGTTAAAGATATTTCATCATGTCATGTCTCACCTCCTTATTCAGAAAAGTCTGATGGTGATGATGATGATAGTGACGGCACAGGGAAAAGTAAAAGTGCCTCATCAAGTGAACAAGATGCAAGTATTGTCATAAGCCCATTTCCTTCAGTTTCAAAGCTTTCAAGAGTATTTGCTAACTCTTCAACCAAAAATGCTGTGGTGAATGTGCACAAACGGCTTCAAGAGACCAGAGAGCTGCTTACAAGAACTAATAGGGACTTTGCCACAAAATTTAACCACTACCAAGTTGAATAATAATGTCATCTGTTTTAAAGGGTACATTGATATGTGCTTGCTGCCAGGTTGCCTTGACTGTGGAACGTTTTGCAAATTTGGAGATTGATGTTTCACCATCTGATCGGTAAACAATTTCACTAAATTATTTTTTTGAGGGAATCCTTGAGGACAAAAACTGCATTTTTCCCAAGTCCACCTGTGCATGAATTTTATAAGGCTCCTCAAAAGCTGGTCAAAGTTGTGATTTGGCTCTAAATCAAGGTAATTTGATGAAGGCTTTTTTCATGGGTACAAAACAGTGCTAGTAAAATGAAAAGAAACTGTTTCAAGCTCTGTATTTAATTTAAATGTAACTTCTGATTTGCTGATTTGGTGAATAAAACCTGCCTGCCCGGTGATATAACTGGTAACGGCTTGTATACTGTAGATAGAATATATAAGTGATTTAACCAGCATTGAACCATTGGAGATTCTTGTCTGGTTAAAAGACAGGTAAATTGGATTCCAGGCCCAATGTGATTAGTCATGCAGGGCTGTCATTAGTCACCTGTCATCTTGATCTTCACATCCATAACAAACCTATTACTTTGTGGGTGAATTGTCAGCATCAACAACAGGCAAGTTCACCCATAACATGCCACCAAGGGCCCACCAAGCATACTCTACTGTAACATGTCTTATGTGTTACAGCTGTTAATGTCAGCCCTGATAGGCCCTGTGAATTTATATGTACATGAACAGTCATACAGGTTATACAAATTTGTGTACAGGTGCATCAGTGTTCCCTTGGAATGAGTCTTCTTGGTGGACTCCTTCAGAAAAGGAGAGAACCTGCTAAGAGGTGAACTGGTAAGAGAACAAATAAATAAACTGAAGAAGTGCCCTATTTCAGAACAATTTTTTTTT